CAACAACAACAACAACAGGAACAACAGGAACAGGCAACAACTGCAACAATAACAAGAACGAGAACGACGACGACGACGACAGTAGGAGCAGCAGCAACACTTCTATATCAACGTGCACTGCGCTGAATCTTGGATTTGACGAGGACCCCTGAAGCTAGTCCTGTCGCGACCATCGCAGCAGACGCGCTTAGGAAACCCTGCTTGACGCCCCGTCTCAGGTTTGTCGCCACCGTCAGACATGCGTGGCTGCAGGGCCGCGCTGAATCGAAAAAGAGCAAACGAAACAGTGGCCATGCTGAAATAAAGCCGTTCTCGCACACGGGCAAGGTGCACCTGCAGGTGCCGCACAGCATCGCTCTGCAAATGCTCGATGGAGCCCTGGTGTGGCACGAGGTCAACAGAAATGGGGGTAGGGAATGAGATAGCCAGAAAGAGAGGGTGTAAAGAGCAGACATACGCTTGCCACTGGCAGAAAAAGGACGGTCAAAACACAGTTTGCAGAGTATCAGGATGCCTCCTCGTGCTGAATCGTCTGCAAGGCCGGGCTCAACACCTGACGACGACACAAAACAAAGCCGAACGGAGGGACCCGGGAGCAAGGAACCACCGTAGGAGACGCGGTCCAAACGCCACGAAGCCCTCGCTTCATGATCCTATTTTATGGACCGGGGTTGCTAGCAACATCACCTCCAAGATGGCATGCCAACCACGCAGAAGCACCGTGTGAACACCAGAGCAGCCTGGCCATTGACGGTCCGGGCCTGGTGCTGGTACTCCTGGCCCTCTCTCCTTTCGTGCCAGCTCTGGCTGCGAGGCTTTTTGGGGGCTTTCCGCTTCCCTAAGCAGTGGCTGCATCATTGCAGGATGTCCAACCCATGTCGTCAGGCTCCATGTCTGGTCCGGAAGTTCAGCATACGTCTCTGCGCTTGCCGTGCAGATGCGGTCAAGGCTCGAAACATTCGTTTGACGGGCGGCAGGGAAGGATGGAGAGAAAGAGAGAGAGAGAGATCTCAGAGAGAGAAACAACACAAAGGATGATGCGAATTCGAACGACTGCCAAGGTTTGCACTCAGCAAGACCCCCTCACCACGGACCCTCTATTGAGAACATTCCTTTCGCATGCTGCTGGACCCTGAAGGCTCACGTCACATGAGGCCCATCACCTTTACGCTCAACCCACAAGGTTTGGCAACAAAACGAAAAGCGGACCTGGTGGTGTTCACCGCAGCACCTAAGGCGGTCTCAGTGATGTTGGCCATGGCCGCCTATCGGAAGAAAAGCACAGGAGGCACTAAGGTCTGCCTCCCTGCAGCCTTCTGTGGAGTCTGCTATGCCTTCGCCTGAAAGCAATCCGATCCAAGAGCCCCCCAACCCCCACATGCAAAACCAGGCCTTCACATCGTCAGCCATGCCTCGGTCGTGAGACAGGTGGCGAGTCCCAAACGATGCCACTCTCGCAGTGCGCACGTCGTGTCAACTTGAAGCCAAAGCCAAGGAGCCTTGAAGCGCCTGGATCTGGGTACTGCGCACAGCCTGCATCGGAAAATTGCAACGCCCCCATGCACGGTTTCAGACTTCGAAGTATTCCGAGATCCCGGTTCCGAAGATTCCAAAAGATGCACCGTCGATCGTCACTCGGTGCTTTTTGCCGCGCTGATGGCATCTTCGGCCCAGCACTCAGCGGTGGCGGGACAGGTCGGTAGTGCGCCTGCGCATGTCATTGAGACTGTGTTAAGTGGGTTCATAACAATGAAAAACACATGGGTAGTTCTCTAAATTAGGGTCCCATTTTAGGTCCCCAATATAGTCCGGCACCCTTATAAAAGGACCCCCAAACGGACTCTAATTTAGAAAGCTACCCACATTGTGTGTAGTCACTTGCTAGGCACCTCGTCTGGTGCTTTCAGCAGCGGGGTGCAGCAAAGGCTCTGCGGGAGCATCCTTGCGTAAAAAGCACTTGCCCTCTCTTCCTCGACTCAGTGAAATACAATGGGCCCAGTGGTATATAATGTATGGTCCTTAATATTTAGAATAATTCGGGTTCAGGGGCCCATTATACTATAGCTATGATAAGGAACCCCCAAAATAGTATAGGTAATTATGGGCCTAAGGGCCTGGGCCTAGGGTGCAACAGATCTTCCCAGATGACAGGTGGAATCGTGCCCGGCGAAGCGCTTGAAAGATCCCAAACCAAACGGCCAAGAGGCTGATGGCATTCCACCTTCATGCAGAAGCCTTGGTGATTTGGAGCACTGAAGGAAAATTCGCCAAAGCCAGGGACACTTATGTTGCAGTACCGTGCCAAACAGACCTCATCCAACATAGACAAAATGATACAACGCTACATAGCCCGATCTAGTACAGCAGAACAATACCATACGGTAGCCGTACTAGAGTCATATACTACAGTACGTATCCCGTTGAGGACGCCACGGTCGAGTGTGGGTGGCGTCAGCTGCGCTGCCGCACTTGACCTTCGAATGACTTGGTGGCATTGGGTAAACCTTAAACCTCGCGAGTGCTTTAATTCATAGACTCATAGACTTGATTCTAGTCTGCTTCGTGGCTCCACTTTGCAGGCCCGCATACATTTGCATACGGCGAGGTGCGCGGCAGATTTAAAGGCTGTTGGAGCGCTCCTTCCACGAGTACGATGCGAAGGCTTCCCTGCAACGAGGCGATGTTCTGGGATTTGATTTGCTGGCGTCCGGCGGAACTCCACATGCTTTTCCAACTAGCCGCAGTGGTCATTGCTCGCTTTCACATTGCGCAACAGGCAATTTGTATGAGGCTGCAGTTTCGAGGCTTGTGCCGTCCTCTGGTTGCTGTCTGTAACCATTCGCTGTCCGTAACCATCCAGCTGTGTTGTCTTCTGCAAAATCGAAGAAACCCTTCCGTGCAACACTGCTATCAAGCCTGCCGCAGCCTTGACGCGTTCGGATGTTGCGATGATGTTGATTCTGCCGCTTCCGCCAAAGGCGAAGAGGAGCCACAAACGAACGACCGACAGGACAACCCCGCAAGCCCAGAGGAAAGCCGCAGACAGAGGCGCAGGACCACAACAACGGCACAACGGCAACAAGTCTGAGCCCACGGACACGAGTTGCCACGCAGCCTCCAGGAAGCCAGGGCCTCGCTGGCCACATCATGCAGACCAACCATGCAATGAAGGCTCAAGCAGATAAACTGGATGCTGAAGAGCTGCGCTCATCGTCGCTTTCCCAGGAGCCTGACAGGATTGCAAAATACTGGGACGCTGGGCCTCCTTTCCGGCTACCACCGACAACCCAAGGCTGACATCGAAGGATAGCAGGCCTACAGAGGGCGGGGACCATCGCAAAATATCGTCGTCCTCCAGAGAAGCAGTGCCGACGACCACGGGCTTCGCGTTTTGGACCCTTTGGGATACGGCTCACTGACAAGCTGCTGCAAGGCTGGGGGAAGAGATCCGTAGCCGCACCTTGCCGTGCGCGCGTTGGAAGAAGACAGGATACTGAGAGAGTTTCGGGAACAAGCAAGCCAGCACAATGCCACATGTCGAACAAAGACACGAAGTCGAAGCATGTACGTTACGTCTGAACCCTCGGTCCTCGCCGGAGGTCTCGCCCCTGTCCGTGTCCGAGTTATAGGCCTTCGGCTAGCGTGCCGTGCGTACTGCTGACAAACATGCGCTGCATTTGACTGGTAGAACCGTCATGCGGCAGAAACCCAGCCACCCTCAAACAAAGGCACACAGGTCCTCCTGCATGATCCGCGAAGCAGCCACCACGGACGGCGGGTCAAGCACGGGGGCGGCAGAAATCTGGCACTGCTATGTTTAAGGGCTTCGGCTCGGTGCAGTCTGCACTGCGTGTTAGCAGCTCAGTGTTAGCCACAAGAAGCTGCAGATGTCATATCGCGGGCTTGAGGGTGCAGGCTGCAGCTGCACCTGGTGAGTGTTGATGTGCGACTTTACTATTTATTACGATTGCCGGAGGATAAGACATGAGATTCTGCTGAGGATAAGGTGCACGGTCCAGGTCTGTGCCGAAGGCCCTATACTAAACCCTGCAAACCCTAGGATTTAAAGGTATTGGGNNCCTGAAACCCTAAACCCTGAGCCCTAAACTGAACCATGGAGAGGGCATACGGGTTGGCCTCCCCTCGCTGGGGCTTCAAAACCGGCCGTGGGCCCGTCGACACGGGAGGTCGGACCTCAAAGCAAATGGGACACTTCCGAATGAGCAATAATTGCCCATATTATCTTGGGGCTCCTTATTATAGTTATAATAAGGAGCTCCAAAACCTATATTATTTTGGGGCTCCTTATATTGTAGATATAGGTAAGCTCGTTCTCCAGTGGATGGGAAGTCCCACCCCTCTCCAGGCTGCCAGGGCGCTTTGCGAGGGAGGGCCGGCTGGTGAAGAAGCTGAGATTGCTCCTGCAGAGCTTCGGGTTTAGGGTTTAGGGTGTAGGGTTTAGGGTTTAGGGTTTAGGGTGTGAGGTACAGTATTCAACCGATGCTGCTTCAATCCCACGACGGGTCTCCACGTGTGCCCTCCAGAAGGACACTTGGAGGTTCATGGGTAGTTGATAAGTGGGGTTATAAGTCCCCTAATATGGGTTATAATTATAGTTACCCTACTTATAACCCTACTTATAACTACCCCATGAACCTGCACATTATGACCCCCTTATAGACCCCTTATAGGACCCCCTTATAGATCCCTTAAAGGAGCCCTATAACTACCCATGAACCCTAAACCCTACAGAACCCTTAAAGGAACCCTATAACCCTACTTATAACTACCCATGAACCTCCAAGCAGAGCCCTGGCCTTTTGAGCGACTCTCTGCGCCGGCTGCGGCCTCGGCTCTCGTCTCAGCGGACGAGAAATGCCGCCACGGCTGCTTCTGGAAGTATGTAGGGCTTCAGGGCTTTAGGGGTTTAGGGCTTTAGGGGTTTAGGGTTTAGGGTTTAGGGTTTAGGGTTTAGGGTTTAGGGTTTAGGGTTTAGGGTGGCCACATGCAGCTTATCTCTGCCGTGATCATGCGGAGCCACTTCAGCGACGAATCGGCAAATACTGACTGTGCAAAAACACCAACAAGGTCTGCAGGGTGATGTAGCCCAAGCGGCTAATGCAGGGTTTGCACAAAAGATGAGCCCACATGAGCCCACTACGTCACGACGCAATCAGCACATGTGCACAAAGTCTTCCAGCGGCAAGGTCAAGCCTCATTTAAAATAGCGCACGAAATGGTGCCCGAAGACTTTGGCAGTGTCGGAGGCCGCGCCGGCGCCACGTCATCTGCACGCCGATGGGGGACCTCGCCCAAGACAAAAAGCGGTTCCGGCTATGCCTCTCTGAGTTGAGGGCTTTTTTTGGTGGTTTAGGGTTCAGGGTTTACATCCCTATTAAGATACTATGAAAATACTAGTGAACTACTTCAAGAATATAGTTCTAATAAGAGCAGTTGCGGATGCCTGTCTAAGGCATCTGCAAACAGGCTGAGACAGCAGACCACCACCCTCCTAAGTATTCTGAAATTCGAGCGAGATCCTTGAAGCAGGTTGAATCGAGACTGCACATGGGTAGTGTTCCAAATTAGGGTCCCTTTTAGGGTCTTTTTTATAAGGGTGCCGTACTATATTGGGGACCTAAAAAGGGACCCTAATTTAGACGACTACCCACATGTGCCCACACCTCGTTCGCCCGAAGTCGGGATGGGCTCTGTGGCTGGGAGGAGGCCCTCGCTGCGGCTCGCGCAAGGGCCTGGGAAGCTTGTGCCACTAGGCCTGGGAAAAGGACGAGGAACCCTACAATGGTATCCTTACAACCTGAGAGATGTACTGTAAAAGATGAAGCAAGCACAGTATTATGACATGTATTGTGGGAGATGGGGGAGTAGCCTTCTAGCATTCTAAAAGAGCGACCTGGGCCTCCTCTTTCTGTGTCCTCCGTCCGGCCTGCGCCTTGGGCGTAGGCCAAGATGGCCAGGAGGCTGCCGCCGTCGGCCAAGCAGACCAGGAGGATGCCATGAGGCTCAGTCAACTGACTCTCCATTCGGAGAGCACAGAGGAAGCAAACTTTAAAGCCATGAATGCCCTAAGGGACATCACTCTGACTGCAAGAATTGAGACAGGGGGGGGTCCCTGCAGCTGGAGGAATGATGTCTGCCTGGCTTCCGTAGATTACAATTCACACTCAACCCAGAGCCGCGAAAGGCAATTCTTTACAAAGTCGACATCTCAAGCCTGTTGTAAGGTCAGAGGTTTGACATGGCACTGCTCTTGTCTGCATCAGAAACGACACTCGAGTGCCTGAGTCGCACGATATGACAAGGCTCTCCCCTGCGAAGGTTAAGTCCCACCTCGACCTTCCTCTTGACATCCGCCAGGTCGTGTCGAACGGCCTGTGATGACACATCTCGTCACAGTCTGGGACCGCGCAAGCGTCTGCAAGAGGAGAACAACGACACAAATTCACGTGCAGGCCGATCATTTCTGTTCCACAATATGAACAGCTCCGACTGCAGAGCGTCGATCAGCTGGAAGACGTGTCGGGAACTGCTTTCAATGACGTGGGATGATCGTGCCAAGCTCCAACACGCTAGAACAGTCCAGCATGAGTTGGTGAAATTCGAGAGAAGTATTGGCCGGTTGCCGAGGACAAGCCTCGTCCATCTTCGCAGCATCCTCCAGCTGCAAGATTCTGGCTTCATCGACCTGACTGTCAAGGCTGGAAAGCGAAACTGCCGCTTCTCCCGCCCGTCAACACATCAGGGCGAGCAAGCACCCTGAACTTTGCCTGCCCATGCAGGCGTCACAGAGATATCTGCGCCGGAGGCTGCAAGCTGAGCACGAGGCCCACTTCTCTTTCGCGTCTTGAACTGCATCCTGAAAATCTCAAAAAGCAAAGGTTGAATGCCCAATTCTCGCAAGCTCGAGGGACGATCAAATGGTACGTCGTCGAACCTAGCGGGTGCTCAAGGAGCGTAGTGCTGCAGCGGCACAAAAGCAAAGTATGGAGGGTGTCGCAGAGGTGCCTCCACTTCTGCCGTGCCCTTGGCCTTTGCTTGCTGCATGGCCTCGGACACCTGGCAAAGGAGCAAAGGCATCCCCTCCCTTCCTGGAGTACGTTACAGCAGAACCCAGGAGTGTTCGGATGAGGGCTCGGGGACGAAGCTGGGAGAGCTAGGCCCAGAGTTGCAAAGCGTCGGTGGTCGCAGCCGTTAGCAAGCCCAGAAGCTGGAAGCTTCGCCCGGAGCCTTAGCAGCTTAGCAGCCCCACTGTGCCTGAGCCTGGACCTCCGCGCTGGTGTTGCCCAGGAGCCTCGTCGCACAGTGTCAGACTGACTGGTGGCGCGCTCCGCTCGAGTTTTAAGCTAGGTGTGGTGCATAACTTCAGGCAGATGCGTTTGAACGTCTCCATTAGAAGGTCGCCCTCCAGCACTGCAGTAGCACAGTCTATCGAACGCCCACTCCAATCCACCGACACCTCAATGCTGGAGGCCCG